TGGGAGGGGGAGTTGAAATGGTTCGCGACTGGGAGGTGCAGTTGTTTATTGCGAACCGAGCGTAGGTGTTCTGCAAAGCGGTCCCCGAGCCTCCACTTGGTTTCCCCGATGTAGAGGAAGCAACACTGGGTACAGCGGATGCAGTATACCACATTGGCAGATGTGCAGGTGAAGATCTGCTTGATGTGGAAAGTCTTCTTGGGGCCTATTGCTCTCTGTTTCCTATCACCTGTCCAATTTTGCATCCATGCCCAGGCAGTGTTGATACTGTCTTCTTTATTCCATGAGCTGTTAAATTTGCTGATAGGACTGATGTGAGGCTTTTTTTCAACTGGCAGTTACAATGGACTAAATAACCTCCTTCCCTGCTTTAAATGTGTATGATACAATGATTCTAATGAGCAAAGTGTGATGTATATCTCAATTAAATATGGTTGACTGAATAGGGCATAGGTTGTTCAAGATGGCAGTAGAGTAGCAGGGCTGCATGGGGCTCTTGAGCCCAGGGCTCATCCACTCCCGTCTACTTTCTTTCTTTCTTCCTTTTTACTTCTCCTCTTTTTCTTTCTTTTCTTTCATTTTTTTGCTTGTTTTATTTTTCTTTAAAGTCTTTTGTGGCTGATGAATGGGCAGGCCACACATGGAAGCCTCCCGGCAGTCATAGGGCAGTGGTAGCACTGGGGGCAAAACTCCTCCAGCAATCAGCGGCAAAGAACTTTTCAAAATGGTGCCGCCGGCCAGGTAACTTTTCAGATGCAGCGCGGGATTCTTGGCAAGGTGGCAGCGGCCTGGCCTGGCGCTGGAGCCAAAGACTCCTGGTTGCAGTAGGTCCAGAGAGTGGACTCCTGGTGTTGGTGAGACGGTTATCAGTGAGACAGCAGGAGCAGCGGAGTCAGGGGCGTAACCCCTGGTTACGGGACGAGTACGGGTTCAGCACTGGACCTGGCACCAGCAGCGGTGTAGGTGAGGCGGGCCCAGCAGCAAAGAGATGGCGCGAGAAGAGTGGCAATTCCTACATTGGCGGGTAAAGTGCAGGTGGCACCGAGGCGGTGGTGGAGGGGTGGAGGTGCAGGTGTCATTGGTGAGCTGGTTCAGGGCTCAGTACACACGGCAGAGGCAGATAGAGTCTCTTTCAGTTATATCTTTTTGTTCTTAAACTATTCAAAATAGTGCTGGATTGTGGCAACAACTGAAAATTTTCACTGTCTTTTACTGTATTATTCATTGTAAAATGCAAGTGATAATAAATGATTCAACTCTATTCAATCTGTAACAAATAAATGTAAAATTAGGATGTGCTAAGCACATAACAGGAAGGAAGAAGAGAAAACTTCAGGCATGATTTCCTGTCCATTGTTATTGCAATGTTTACCATCCTTTCAGTTTGAAAGATTTTTCTACAAATTTAAACTGAATTCACTTTTTGCTCATTTATCTAGTAGGTTTTTCAATGTTAGAAACATATCGACCTAACAACTTGCTGCCAAAAGGCCTTTGCCAATGTATTGACATGTTGCTGCTGTTCTATTTAATTGAGTAGGATGGAGAATAAGACAGGATAAATATATTAATCTTATACAGGGGTCAGAACCTCAGCTTCTTCTTCCTCATCCAGGGCTTATTAAAATACACAAAAGATTGGTTTGAAAGGAATCTGAGAATGAAAGATACTGACCTCCTCCAGTAGTCAACCTCTCCCTCTTATTTTGGGGTTACCTATTCTTACAAGGAAAAATAATTCATCCATTATATGCCATGGAACCTCCCAAAACCGGTATATGATATGCAGAGGAATGCTAGTGTAGGAGAAAGCATTTAAGGATTATAATAGTTGGAACAGCTCATAAATTTAATCTAAGACTGTAGACTGTTAAGTTGCTCATTGTCAGGTCCCTGAATTTCTTCCAACATCACTTTCTCATTCCCTGCACATTTCCATTTACATTGAGATGCCCGTCATTTCCTGTAAAGAATATTACCCCACACTTGACTTGACAGGTACTTCAGAGGTTATTGAACTGGTAACAAGGGTTACAGTAATATCCAGTATTTTACTTATCTTGGAATGAATTGTCAGAATAGAATGATTACAAGACTAAGTACAAGACATTAATTTTAAAAACTTTATCTTCCAACTTGTATTTAAGAGATAAATATGAATTGTTTGTATTGCTATTCATCTCGGAGTTTTATTCCCCCACCCCTAACCCCCACACCAAGTAAATACTTCCTTCATAATATTTCTGAATTTACTGTGTTACATTTCTAGTCAAATGTCTGTGAATTGAGCTGGCTACAAAGGGTTAATGACCTGGATTAGTGTGCCTCTACACAGGACAGACAACTGGGCTGTGAATCTGCAGCTGAAAGGCCTGCATCTGATTTATTACAGGAGTAAATGGAATGAGTGCCATGCAACAAAGCTCATAAGTCCTTGGGGAATGCAAGCACTGTGGAGAGAGTCTGATTGCTGGATCTGTTATTGCCTTTATCGCCATAAATAATACAGATGAATAAAAATGATAATCAGTACTGTGGTAAACTCCTAACATTTTTATAAATGTTTGACCTTTAGTGGAGTTTGAAAGTCACGTTTCTCCAAGGACAGTGGATGTCGAGACTTTGATTAATGGTGCCTGGTTTAGGAAGATATGGGGCATTCTCGTTTATCACTTACTCTTGCCGGAGACATAGGGTATATGACAGACTGGATACACTGGGTAGACATTGCACATCTGTATGCTTAACCCAGTATCCATCTGTGATCCTACCGGAGACTTTGGTTCACAAGTAGACAAACAAGAGGGCTTCCTGGGCTATCATACTTAGTTGGCCTCTTATTGCTTAAAACTATCTCACTTCTGAATTCAAAATTGGTGAACTCTGAGTAATTTGATAAAATCTTTAACTCTTGTGCAGACCCAGGAGTAGTGGGGGTTGAGTATCAGCTCACTTTTCCATTTGGACAGTAGTAATTACCACCAATGTTATGTACAAACAATATAGTTTGAAGTTTCCCCTCCACAGTTGTCACATGGACAATGGGAGAACGTTGATAAAATATGGGGAGACTAGATAAATAAGATTCTTATTGACATCAAGAGGAAGTTTTACAATGTTCCCTTAAGCTTTAACTGGCAACTTCAGACTCTCCCCATTGAATGTGACTACCTTATTTACTGGCATTTGTATCTCATTCGTAGTCCAAGCTCGCCTTATTTCTATCTCACATCCAATTTGTCTCTCCTTCCCTAAGAAACTAGACAGCCGAATTCTCAACACTGAAGTCACGGTGGTTAGTGGATGGTTGCAGGTCACTGAATGCTCATACTGGCCATCATACAACTGTGTATGTAGTATAATGTCCCTCCATACTCCATGGTTACCATCCTCCTTAACAAATCCATGCAAGTCAGTCTCAGCAAATGATCAGCCTCACCACCTCATCATGGCTGCTCTTAGTCCAACTCTCACCCCACTTCATCCCTTCTCATGGAAACCGAAAACACATATGAATCAAAAACAGAAGTTGCTGGATAAGCTCAGCAAAAATCAGAGTTAACCTTCGGGTCCAGTGACCCTTCCACTGAACTGTTTTGAGGAAGGGTCACCAGACCTGAAACGTTAACTCTGATTATTTTCTTCACAGATGCTGCCAGACCTGCTGAGCTTTTCCAGCAACTTCTGTTTTTGTTCCTGATTTACAGCATCTGCAGTTCTTTTGGTTTCCTATAACATATATGCTTCTGTCAGGTCGCTTTGCACATAGTGACAAACATGCGCCCCATGCATCTGGACAGACTGCATCTTCTAGCTGTTAGTTTGCATTCTTAGTGTTCAAAGTCATATCCCTGTACCTTGCAAAGTGGGAAGCTAGAAATGTGATGAAGCAATTGTTTGTGGTTTGCAGGTTATCATTTCTAATGACTTAGGGTCATTTTCAACTGTGAATTTCTTGCCAAACATATATTTTTAAAACAACATGATGCCAAATACCAGAGCTAGTGTCACCTGCACTTTATTGTAATAGTTGGTTTGAGCAGATGACATGGTTTTCACAGCAAAGACAGTATGTGTCTTACCTTGCAAAAGACAATGGGGCATTTCGCCATGCATCTACTTCAATAATCGTGAAATTCTTAGGGTCTTATCATTGCAGTAAGTAAGATTTTCCTGACCAACTTGCTTGCAGAAATCAAAAATGCACATAGTGGACATTGAGAGCAAGTCTCTCTGTGAAGATACCTTGTCCACAAAGTTAGGAATTAATAGAAAGAGGACATTTTAAAAATACCAGGCAACGTCACATATCTTCTTTATCCTGCAGGGTCAGCATTTGATCATCATGTTTGAATATACCTGGATTAGGACAGACTCTATGGATAGACCAAATAGGGCCAAAGAAGTTCATCTGCCTCATGTTAGCCCTGGCACTTGCCCTGGCACTTGGTACTGTTAAATACCAATCTTTGTCACAATGCGGCTGTCATTATTCAGTGAAGTTTGGGTCATGTTCTGCCCTTGTCTTATCCATGAATGTGACATCATCAGATATACAAATGCGACCAGCTACATTCTCACTAATATCATCCATGAGCTGCTGGAATATGTTTTGGCTAACTTAATGTTCAGATGGTTACTGTCACTCACAGTAACGTAGATTGGCATCCTAGATATCTTGTGTGTCTTCTGCTAAATATACAGGCCGATATCCATGCTTTGCTAGCTATGCTAGCTTGGAAAAGAATCTTCCTCCAGCCAAGTTAGCACTAAATTCTTCCAGCATTACTATTTTGTGTGGACGAGTGAAAGTGTGAACCATGTTGGATTTAGGCATACTCTTATGATGCCATCTTTCTTTAAAATGCACATAATGGAACTACATCACTGTGTGGCGGTCAACCTTCCAAATTATAAAATTTTGCTCCATATATTTCAGTTCCACTTGAAGCTTCTCCTGAATTTACACACTGCACTTCATAAAGGATCAATAAATGGGATTGCATTATACTTAGGATGCAATATCGCATTACCCTTAAAATTGTTCATTGTATGAAAGATGTGTTGGTATTTGAGATAGTTACCTAATTTTATTGTGTCACACATGGTCTGTTCTACAACATGAGTGTGCTTTGAAACCCATGAATTGTGACAATAATGAGATCTGTTCTGCTAGTCCTGCCACAGTTGGACGATTGGTAGAAGAGTACCATGTGGAAGATTTTAGGAAGCAAAGATGAGCTTGTGTATTAGCACAATCACACTACAGTACTAATGCACAGAACTGGTGATTGATTATGTACCGTAAGATAGCCTGTCATAAATTGTACCATCTAGTGCCACTTGCTGAGGTACATATCCTCAGGTAATATTGTGCCACGAGTTCCTGTGTCAATCTTAGTTTATAGTATGTGTTGCCCTGCCTTTTCAAGACATATGATATTAATGATTATAGTTTCTGATCACCTCATGCCATCAACATGGTGCATGAAATGAACAGTGTGGAAAGCTTGGTCATCGTTTGAAATTTGGTTTTCACTTGATCGACTCTAAACCTTATTGATGTGTTGGTATTTACAACTTAATACTTCATAATACTTTACTTACTGCCAGCATTGTGATGTTGTACTGTCTTGCTGATCATCTTTGTTTTGTTCTGGAATTTTGTTATGTCTATGGAACCAGATTTCCAACAGACACATGCCCAATATCCCTTGGTACAGATATTAAGAAAAGCTGGGCAGCAATTGGATAGGTGCGACAGACTGCATCAGTCTAGATTTTAGTGAGTGGCTGTGCTTTGCTAGCCATGGTAGGAGTGTTGACTACACCTAAACCATTTAAACATGAATTACTGTTGGCCTGCCACAATGGCTTTTTTACATGCATCAAACCTCAAGTAGCGCATCAACGATATGGCAAGTTTTCTTGTCCAAAAGAACCTTCATAAAGGCTTTAATTGTAGAGATAATGAACGATCAATGAGTCTCTCCAATAGTACCTCTGTGGAAAACTTAGACTCATGTCTTATGCTGTAGCTTCTTAGACCAGAAGGAGTAAGCCATTTAGCTGCTTGAACCTGCTTCACCATTCAATGGGATTGTGGCTGATCCGACACTCCTCATTCTCACTTTCCTGCCCTTTCCCCATAATCCTTGATTCCCTTACTGATCAAGAATTTATCTATCACAGCCTTATATATACTCAAGGAGTCTGTCCCTGCAGCTCTCTGCTGCAAGGAGCTCTGAAGACTCACACTCTTCTTAGAGAAGAAATTCCTCCTCATCTCAGTTCTAAATTGGCATGACTTTACTCTAAGACTAAGTTGTCAAAAGGCTTCTGTGGTTGCTGTTTCCTTAACATGGGCTTGAGTCTGTTAATCCTGCAATGAGGCTGTGAGCATTTATTATTATGATATGGCAATTTCTAGGGTCCCCACACATACTGGAAACTACTCCCTGTCTGCTTCTCCTTACAAACTTTGCTATACTATTATCTTACTGATGGACTCAACATTGAAATCCAAACATGATTATAATATTTAACCATAGTTACACTTTAAATGCATCAGAAAAAAAGTAGGGCAGGTGCATTCACATGAAGGTGAGGTGAGAGTAACTGTTCATGACATCACACAGCATTTTATCTAACGTGGCACCAAAGAACCCCAACAAAGCTGAAGTCAATGACAATCAAAGGGAAAATTCTCCACTGGTTGGAAACATATATAACACAAAGGAAGACAGTTGTGGTTTATGGACTGAAGGGTTAACTATGATAACTATAATAGCTATTGAACAAGTGAATGAGAAGCTGTCATAGTTACAACAGATCAGATAGACCTAGAACCAGAATATGTTGGTTTCCAGTGATCTCTGCTCTTACCATCTTTTAAATATGTAATTGAATATAGGTGAAGGGAAGCAGGTTCAAGTTATATTGATTGAGGTTCATATAGGTTCAAATTAGATAAATACTCAGGGAAAGAAAACAGGCAAGGAACAAGTTTGGGAGGCAGACAGTAGTAGGACTGATTGGATTTCTCTTCAGAAGCACAGGTGCAGACTCAATGGACTGAATGGCCTTGTTCAGTGCCACACTATTCTCTTGGACTTGGACACAAAATGCATCACAAGGCACTCAGCTGAAATTGTCAAGGGTTAAAGGGGAGGCAGGGATATGGGGGTAGGAGGTACAAGAAATGCACATGGGCCGATGATTTCTCTCCATTATCCTGATACTCTGCTATGGAGCCAGTTCTCAAACCAAACAGACTCATTCAAATATGTGTTAATTTAGCACATTTGAAAAAGTAACCACAAAAGAGATACATCTAATGGCATCAGTAGGCAGGAGTCTAAATGCTTGCAAGTAATACGATCTTCACCATGCTGGGTATGAACAATGATATCTTATCACTTTAAAGAAGCTATACAAATGTAAGTTGTTATTGTACAATTCAATAAAATTCCAATAATCCAATGACCATGTAAGGAAAAGGGAAAATTCAGAATTAACTCTTCCAGGTCAAATCCAGCCATTCATGATATTGACAAACAGTATGCATTACACTCTTTAACTCTCTTCAAAACTTGTACCTAAACAATACTGCACATAATAGCCACATTGCACCAATAGTGGAGAAATAGTTAATGATTGTAATACACTGATTAAGAAGATTAAATTGAATTAGACTTACTGTGAGCACAGTAGCGATACCCATCCAAGTGGATGGTGAGTAATTCATCATAAGCACAACTTGAAACTGTAAGATGGATAGATTTGAAACAGTTAATACATCAACCAGCCTCGTTGCTTCTCTTTTGGCCACAATATAGAGGTTGCATTCCACATTAAGTCTCTGGTGAATAATAGTGTTGGTTGGAGAATCATCAAAGTTGATACCGGTGACAGACTTGTTGGATATGACTGCCCATTTTCTTAGCATAAATGTTATATGCCACTTATCAGCCCAAAACTTGATATTATTCAAGTTCCTGTCCTGATCTCATTATCAGAGGACTTGTCAACAGAGCATATTGTCAGTGAACAGCTCCATCTGGTGATGAACATTAATGAAGCAGCTGGATCAAGGACAGATGATCAGTGAGTGATATCCAAGATTGACCTAGACATGAGACTTTCAGAGAATCTGGAACCAATTTTGAGTACAGCCATACCATTCACACCTAACTATATATTATTGTTCCCTCATCATTGGTTAAATCAAAAGACAGATTAAAAAATGGTGAAGACAGAGTCGGGGCTTTGATTGTTGAATATCATTTAGTGACTATTGGATAAAAACAGACTTTTTCATTTTAATTTCCATTGTCTTAATGTTATAGCTGAGACCCTTTATGGGCTAAAGTGATTTTTACAAGGAAGGCTGCAGGGACCGTCTAATAACAGATTGAGGCAAGTTTCATGGTACCCATATGAAATAAACAAAGCCATCTTCACTGGAGTTACCACTTTTTATCTAAATCAAAAACAACCAACTAAGTCATCATCAGGAAATTGACATCTCCATATTGATTCACACCTATGTGATATGTACAAGTTCTGTTGCTCATGAGGACTCAAGAAACTGTGAAACTGATTTTAGAATAAACATCTCAAAAACGCTAAAGCATGTTTAACTATGTAAGCCTTACCTTCTCTATCCACACCAGGCACTCTCACTCATAAATTTATACCTGTGTTTGTGTGTACGTCTGTGTGCCTATTTGACATTGCTTTTATATCATTCTTTTCTCTGGATTAGTAGACAATAAAATTCCTCTTTCTTTCAGTTAAGAAAGTCTTGGTAACTAGCTCCTTTGATTTCCAATGAACTACATTTTAACTGAAGTACAGCAGCTGTATGCAAGAAAGACATAAAAATATTTGCTGCAATCAAATAAAATGGAATTAAAAAGCAGGGAACCAATTTCTTAATACATTTCTTCGGCTGCCTGAGGGAAAGGGTGTTTGAGGACAAAAACATCAGATCCGATACCAAGATCATTGTCACAGAGCTGTGGTGGTTCCCACCATCCTTTATGGCTCTGAGATGCAAACTGTCTGCAGCAGACACCTCAATGCACTGGAGCAGTACCACCAATGTTGCCTGTGCAAAATCCTACGAGCTGGGAAGAAAGACACACTAAGCGTTCTTGACCAGGCCAACATCCCCAACCTTGAGACACTGACCATCCTTTGTCGGCTGCAATGAGCTGGGCACGTTGTCTGCATGACTGACACGAGGTTCCCCAAGCAGATGCTTTATTCCCAACTTCCAATGGCAAGCGAACCCGAGGTAGACAGAGGAAGCGCCTCAAGGCCTCACTGGTGAAGGGACACCTGGGAATCACTGGCCCAAGACTGTCCAAAGTGCAGGAGGAGCATTCGGGAAGGCATGAGCACCTCGAGACTTGCTGTTGGGAAAAAGTGGAAGCTGGGCGAAAACAGGGAAAGGAGCACACTGCCACAACAATGCACCACCTCCCCCTTCCTGTGACAACCTTCTGCCCAAAGTGTAACACAGCCTGCAGTAGCTGCATCGGTCTGTACTATGAACTCACCCTGAGAAGAGAGTCATCCTCATCTGTAAGGGACTGTCAATGATGATGATGACATTCCAAGGAAACATGTTCTTTTTGTACCACTGGTAGAGCTTATGTCTGCTTTGTTTTCCTGTGCCTTCCTAACTAAAGAGTCCTTCGGTATTCCTATTACTGCAATTGGTTTCAAATTTAATATCCATCAAATGATTACAATGAAAACATGTTAATTTCTTTACATCACTTTTGGTTCCAGCCTTTCTCCTTTATTACTTTGATGTCTTTTAATCTGGTGCCTAAGACAAATGCCCCTTCTGGCTACTGATTTTCTGTTGCTCTAATTTCCTCATGATTCCATATGACCAGAGATTTTCTATTTTTCTGATTTCCTTGTGGATTCCATATGACCATTTCCCCACTTGTAATTGTCTGTGTAAAATATCATCGCCATCTGCCAAAATTGCTGCTTCTCTGATCTGTAATACTTGATGTTTATCTAAATAAGTTTTTAAATTAGCAGGAATGCTATTCCTGAATTCTTCCAGGATCATAATATCCCTTACATTCTCAATTTTTTTCTCTGGTTTGTGCGATCTATACCACTGATCCTACAGCATTTCTTTCCCCCTTGCAAATCCACAAACGTCTGATTAGGTTTCTTTCTTGTAGTTCTAAACCTCAGTTGATAAGCTTCAGATACAAGCTCATATGTATTGGATATTGCCTCTTTTACAGTTTTATACCCTGCAGATTGTTCTTTTGACAAGCTGGCATATGCAGTCTTACCTGTACCTGTCAAAACACTCTGTAACATTAAAGTTCAAACCTTGTTTTGCCACTTCATTTGTCCAGCTACCTTTTTAAGTAAGGTAACCTTTCAACTCTATCCTTATTAAATTTAGCCACTAAGCATTGGTTCTTTGCTAAATCAAATCTTTCATTGGAAATAGAACCAGCATCCAAGGTACTACCTCTTTCTTCCTTCTTTATTTCTGTTTTTCATTTGTTAATTCACTCTCTAATTTCTTTAACTCTTTGCAATTCAAGTTCGCTTAATCCCTTTCTTTCTGCTTTTCTCTCTCCTCAATTTCAAGTTTAATATTTTTATCCTTTCCCTGTCCAAGTCCAGTTCATAGAATCCCTATAGTGTGGAAACAGACCATTCGGCCCAATAAGTCCACACCGATTCTCTTAAGAGCATCCTACCCAGACTCATCCCCTACCCTATCGCTGTAACCTTACATTTTCTGTGGCTAATCCACTTAACCTACACACCCCTGGACACGATGGGCAATTTAGCATGGCCAACCCACCTAACCTGCACATCATTGGGCGGTAGGAGGAAATCAGAGCACATGGAGGAAACCCACACGGACACAGGGAGAATGTGCAACCTCCACACAGACAGTCACCTTAGGCTGAAATTGAACCTGGGCCCATGGAGCTGTGAGGCAGCAGCGCTAACCACTGAGCCACCATGCCACCAACTAGTTTACATTTCTAACTGCATCTTAGCTATCTTCAAGTTGTGACATCACAATTTCAGTATTCCTTTCTAAATGTTACATAATCATTTGAAGTATCTCATTCTTATGATATCCTGATTTTACTTCTGCCTTCTATGTATCTGCTAAAATTTAGTCAATTTCTTAAAAATAATGAATTTCTATCTTTTCCTTTTCCAGAAAATGCTTAGCAACCCATGAAGTTGCCTTCAAATTTTGTGCAATAAACGTCATCACAACTTAGCCATCCTGTGCTCCAGAAGCACTCTGTAACTGCTAATTTAACAAGACATATAAAGATCCCTCTTAAATCCAGTGAATTCAAAAATCTGCACAAGTGGGTCAGCAGCAAGCTTTAGCATGAAGGAGCTCAGTGGTCTCCTCCCATTTCTGATTTTGGGCCCCTTAGTCAAGGATCGATTGCAGCCATCTGGTTGGGAGCCCAGACGCAATGATATCAGGGTTTGTTTGCCATGTTTCTGGCATAGTGAACTGTATGCAGCTGGATCGAAACAGCAGTGGAGGGATTCAGCCTTAACTGGGCATTAATCATCACTTATCGTCTCAATTTGCCATGGAATGGGAAAGACTTCCTACATCTGACTTAATTGGGGTGAAGGTGGTACTGTGGTAGGGCTGAACCTGCCACTCTCCCAACTGTTTAAATGTAACACTCGCAATCAATCTCGCCATGGAGGAGAAATGGGATTACTTTTATTGAAAGAAATGTTAATTCACTTGGTTTAAATTGTCTTAAGTCTTGAAATCACAAATTAACATTGCTTGACAATGCCTCCTTGGAGAACTAGCCAGTGTACAAAGTATAACTGCAGTTCTCTAAACACTGAGAGAGGGTTCTCAATCAAAAGAAGCACAAAGAGGTAGGCATTCTGAAATCAACTGCTGTTCTGCTGAAATGTAACAAACAATCTGTAAGAACTAATGAGAGGCAAGAACCTACATTTTCTCTCTATCCACAAATCTTGCAGATCTGCTGAGTCCATTTGCACATGACAATACCAATTATTTTACGGCAGAAGCCATCATAGTTGTTGAATCTGACTGTGTGATTTTAAACACTTTACCTTGGAAAGACAAATCTGCAAGCAAACCATGCCTGCAATGGTAATAGAGGATGATCTAATTTCAATCTTCATGTAAAAGTTTTACCCTTATTTTCAATCCTTGTATCTGTATTTTCATGAATAATTTTTACTTAATAACATGTGGCAATACTGTGTGATAAACTAACCCTTTATCTTGTTTCAAGCATGCAGCCATAATGCTGCTTATTTCGCAATTGAAATGCTTAAAAAAACTAAAATAGAGGATATAAGTAATCCAAAGAAATTTGTCATTCATGGACAACTCTGAGGACTTGCCGGTGTGATCATGACACACAGACACAGCTAATTTTAACAGTGAATGTGAATGCTTTAATTTGTGTATAACAACATACATAAAAGCATAGATAGTGTACATAAAATTTAAATAGTGTACATAAAATTTAAACACGGCCTTTTCATTGAATGTTTCTTCAGAAGCAACACTGATCAAGTATTGGTAAAGTTAGAATAATTATTAGTCGAGAAGGTCATTGAACAGGAATATTTTTATGAAATATTTTTCTCTCCACAAATGCTGTCTGCTCTGCCAAGCATTTCCTGCACTTTTCATTTTTATTTCAGATTTCTGGCCTCTATGGTATTTTGCTTTAGTAATCATTAGTCTAGTTAACTTTACGGTTAACTTTACAGTGGCTCAGTAGTTGGCACTGCAGCCTCACAGTGCCAGGGACCCAGGTTCAATTCCACCCTTGGGTGACTGTCTGTGTGGAATTTGCACATTCTCCCCGTTTCTGCGTGGGTTTCCTCCAGGTGCTCTGGTTTCCTCCCACAGTCCAAAGATGTGCAGGCTCGGTGGATTGGCCATGCTAAATTGCCCATAGTCTTCAGCGATGTGTAGATTAGGTGGATTGTAGGGGGATGGGTCTGGGTGGGATGCTCCAAGGGTCAGTGTGGACTTGTTGGGCCGACAGGTCTGTTTCCATACTGTAGGGATTCTATTAAAAAAAATGTAACCAACAGTATTTACAGGCCTTGTTACAAAATGATCATGGGGAACTGTCTTCACAGACTGCAGATCAGCAGAGAGTAAGACATAGCTGTGCTAAATGTTGCAAGGCCACGTGGAAGTAACCTGCCGCAAATGCCTGGCATGGTTAGTAGCAATAACTGTCAGCTGCAATCTCTAACATGACTTCATCACTTTCCATGCAATTCAGTAATGCTACTGTGTAGAGATGGTACAATAGAATGTCAAGCAGAACTGCTAACCTTGCAAAAAACCTGAGTCAGTGCCTTCTTCACTGAGTGTTGGGCTGCTCTGCCTGTAGACTTAATTTCATATTTTCATATTGAATTTCCGTTCACTTCAACCTGCCTATCATAGACCCCACCACCAAAGACATCTTTCCCTCCCCACCTTTATCTGCTTTCCGGAGGGACAACTCTCTCCGTGACTCCCTCGTCCGCTCCACACTCCCCTCCAGCTCCACCACACCCGGCACTTTTCCCTGCAACCGCAGGAAGTGCTACACCTGCCCCCATACCTCCTCCCTCACCCCCATCCCAGGCCCCAAGAAGACTTTCCACATCAAGCAGATGTTCACCTGCACATCTGCCAATGTGGTATACTGCATCCGCTGTACCCGGTGTGGCTTCCTCTACATCGGGGAAACCAAGCGGAGACTCGGGGACC